TCTCCCCCTCTCTCCCCCTCTCTCCCTCTCTCCCTCTCTCCCTCTCTCTCTCTCTCTCCCATAAATGTTTTCAAATTGTCTTCATGCTCGGCTTTGGTAACACTGCAGCCCCTGGCTCCCCTCCTAACTTGGTTACTATTCTTCCTTGATTTCTGTGATTAGATCTTCTTCTGTTCTCCCCCTTACACAATGAAGCTCCCCCAGGGCTCTAACTTTGCTCCTCACACTCTCCTTGGAAAATCTCAGCCCACCCCATGGCTTCAACAACCATGTGACGACTCCCAATCTGTGTCCAGGCTCAGCTGTCTGTCATTTGAGTGCCAGTACAGCATGCCCATTGTCCCATCTCCACCTCAAACTTAATGTCTCCAAAAAAGAACTTATAAATCTTTCCCACTGCCAAAGGAAAAAAAAAAAACATATTTCTAATGTTATTACAGGTATGACCAAAAACTTCATACATCTTCCTTCACCTTTAACCCCCTACAATTCTGGCCATTCTCTCTGTATAATAAATCACACATCTGTCCCCAAGTTTTCTAGCCCCATTTTTCCAAATACCAAGTCTCTTCTCAAGCTATTCCCTCTGCCTTTCCCCACCCCCAACACCACCCATCCTCTAGGGCCCAAAACAAATCCATACCTCTCGACAATCCTTCTTAGGTTCCCCATGATAGAAAAATTGTCTACACAGTCCAACTTGGCCCTTATCATAACCCACCTTACTTTATTTATCCATCTGACTTCTTCACTAGATGGAAAATGCCTAAAGGGAAAAGAGTGTGTCCTTTACATCTTTCTACCTTTATACTCTAGCGCCATGTTTCTCAACAGGTAACACTACTGCCACTTTCGCTGGAACAATTCTTTATGCACGAATGTCCCAGGTATTACAGCATATTTATAGCTTATCTGCTCCCACACCATAGCTAACAGCAGCAGTTTTGTCTTTGAGACAACAAAAATCCCAACCCCATATGTTCCAAGTATCTCCAGAAAATGATACTGCCCCCAATTGGAAAGGCTTGCACAACATTCAGTTCTGCTAATGCTTGTTATTTATATCTCAGTAGACAACCAACTTATATTTAACTTAATTTAACAAACTACCCACATGTCAAATCAAACAGGTTTTCTTTATAGAAACTCCTATGATATAGAAACTCCTATGATAGAGTTAAAATCTTAATTTGAAACCAATGTATTGCTTGTAACATCAGCATTCTATGATCACAGTGAAGAAGAACTGAACTAAACCTCAGAAAAGGACACTGAGGCCTGGAGAGATTATACAACTTGGTCAATGTCATGTCAACTGTTAGAAGCAAAACTAAGAACCAAAGTAAGATGATATGACTCCCAGACCAAGCTTTTTCTACTAGGTCATGTGACCTCATCTTCTTGGCAACCACAGGTTTCTCTATGATTTTTAAATATTTACTTTTGAAAAGAAAGAGATCATCATCTACTAACATTTACTGAGCAAGTCTAATGAGTGACCTAGACACTTTCAAATACTATATTTAACTTAATCCTGACAATAGGCCCGAAAATTACCAAGGAGAAATAAATAACCAAGACTCAAAGATGATTTAAACGTTTGTACAGAATCACAGAACGACATTGCTAGAACCATTACATCAATTTGTAGACTTTCTATGTGATCCCCAAAATATTAACCTAAACTGATAATTCTCAATATTTTTCATTTAGTAATGATAGGATTGCTTCTGAGCTTCCAAAAGTGAAGAAGTTCCAATTAGATTTTTTCCTATTATAAGAAACTTTTGATGTAATCAACTACAATAGGTATTAAAGGTTGTTTGCTTTTTATTTGGTTTTTCACCTGGAGTAATAATAATGCTATTAGCTTCTCGAATCATGTCAATTGCATTCTCAAGGTTGATTTCTGTATGTGTGCCAGAAATTTCCATGGGTTTTCCACCAGCTGTTGAAGTGGTACCATAGCCTCCAAGAATCACATTAGCCAGGGAGCGATTCATTGCCTGGAACACAAAATTATCATCTGTGAGAGTTTAGTCCATGTAACTTATTTAAAATAATAAAAATCCTGTGTATATGACATTCACCATCATTTAAAGCAGTTTCTGTGATCATCTAAAACATTTTAACCAGATACATTTGATCTAGCTTCTGAAAATTATTTCAAAAATTTAAATGAAAAGACATCTGGGAAACCAAATCATTTTTTCTATATTGTCAACTGTCTACTGATGTATTTTCACTAAAGGAGTAATTTTTAAAAGCATTTAATGAAAAGTTACTAGCAACAATAATTAATGAAAACTTCAGATCTAGTTATTATTATCTGCATACTGAGTTCTACCTCCACATTCATGTGTATTTCACAAGAGTAAAACAGAACAACAGGAATAAGAAGTTTTACAAGGTGACCCTACAGATCTCTCAGGTGAATTCTGCTACCAGCTGCAAGCTGTCAAGGGGCAACCAAGAGGAATCAAAAGGGATTCATTTCATTTAGAACTCTGCTGCCCTCTGCTGTTAAGAAAAAAAGAAATGTGGAGGTTGATCCTGTCGTATTTTCCAAATCAGCTCCATGAAGCTATTAATAGAAGTGACTGGATTCATTATTAAGACTCCTAAAATATTTCGCTTCCAAAAAGATAGATGAGTAAGTTTATATATACTGTTTCATTATAATTTACACCCACCCTTTTAATCAGAAAAATAATCTCGGAAAAAAAAACAATAGGAAGGCACTTCTCATTATATGCTCATTTACTACCACCCGACAATGTATCATACAAACACCCAAACAAAAATGTCATGATAACTGATCTGGTTTTGAAAACAGTTCATTTGTAGACCTCTGGGAGGTGAGGTGGTAAAAGGAAAGAAAAAAGACAAGAATGTAGACATTTTGAATAATCAAATGCATTGCAAGAATTCAAATCACTGTACATGAATAAAGCAGTCATTCTACATAATTATCGCTTCTGAAAAACTGAATTTATAACTTCCGAAAAAATTTCAAAAAATTATTAAACTCTATTTTAAGGATTGTAATAAACATACCATTGAGCCATTTTGTTTATACCATTTAAAAGTTATATAAGTGTCAATCTATTACTTTTTTTAAAAAAAGACATTTTATTATTAAAAGTACCTGGGGATTTACAGTGAAAATCACCTTAGGAAAAAAAACATTACCACCCATCCAAAGACAGCCCAGCCTGGTACCACCTTAGGGAAGACATGTACATATACTGTTGAGGAGAGACAGAGGTAAAGGAAAGGAGGAAAAGGATTAGAGACGAATAGCAGAGAGCTACACTTGACTAAAGGCAGCATATCAATATCCTAAGTTTCAAATGTGGACAAAATGTTGTCAGAATTTAACTTGTTCTTCTGACCTAAGCTTGATCAGTTACGACACTGACATTTTACAAAGCCCAAAATCTAGTAAACTTGTCTAAGATTATTACATATAAAATAAAGCCCAGAATATCTTTACATATATTATTAACAGACAAGAAGTTCAGAGAAAAATTAAAGTAATGATTTAATTAAGTTCATAGTCCCAACCTGAAATGAAGTTTTAAGGTCTTAATACAACCTCTTCTACTTAAATCCAAGGTTTAATGAAAATCTAAATAGTCACCCTGAGACTTCCAAATATTCAACATCTATTGATTTTGATATATTCTTTCTAGTTTTGAATTACAGGATTCTGAAATTACCAAAAATATGATCCACCAAATTTTTGCCCTTAAAAACTGATTCAAAGGACTATTTCAGACGTTATTTCTGTCATAGATAACTTAAACACACACACACACACACACACACACACACACACACACACATACACACACAGCGATTCCATGACCTGCATCATACAATCCTGTAGAGGAAAGGATGACAGAGGAGCATGATGTAGAGACAGATGTAGAGGATATAACCACTTTATTCTAACTTGACTTAAAAGGAACCATTCTTTACTTCCTATAAAACTGAATGTAGGAGAAGGAAAGAACTTCTGAAAACACATAATTAATGTGTACCCACTTCTGATGGCATCTTAGGGAGAAAAAAAATGGAACCACACAGTAGTTTAACAATCAAAGTCAACTTGTTAAACACGTATCCACAATTATATCACCATTAAACTAATTCCATGTGGTCTCTTAAAAACAATTATTTTTCATCTCTGAATTTACCATTGCAACATCATATTTTCAACAAATGTTTAGGGTTTAAGGATTTGTTTTGTTTCTTTTTTTTTGTTCCTTTTTTTTTTTTTTTTGGCTTGCTTAATGCTTTTCTCCTAAAGTGGTAACATTTCAACTAATATCTCAAATAGAATACAAGAGATCATCCTGTTTGGTGGTTTTTTTTTTTTTTTTTTTTCCTTTTTTTTTTTTTTTTGGCTTGCTTAAGTGATTAATGAGACTATCCTGTGACCACTGATCCACAGATTGAAGAGTTCCCAGCTTCCAAGACAAAGTATTTGCAACACTGTCCAAGACTGTTCCTTTTAAGTTACTAAGCTCTATAATGAAAATTGTATGCTACATTAAAGAGAGCCTTAATTCACATAATTCTAAGCAAAATGTAAGAAAACAATCTGAAAACAAAGGAAAGGTCATAAAACAGACAAAACCAAAGCAATAATCACATATATCCATCTACTAGCATCTCTCATTTCAATGCTTCATAGGTACTAATTACTTGGTGCAAGGCAAAAAGAAATTTGTTTTGGTTTGGATTTGATCCACTTCATTCTGTTCTATTTTCATTTGGAAACAAGCAGCAAAGTGCAAAAATCAAAAAATTTGGTCTAAAAATGTTGTTCCGTTTTTGCAAGCCCTCTATTTCCCTGGACACTATCTCAAGTAAATGGTCTATAAAATCATAAAGAGGTTAATGTCTAATGACATCTGAATATAAAGCAAATCATTCATTTCAGCTGGTTGTTGGACACTGTTGACATTTTATAACAGGTCTGTGTATAGTGGGTCTGTGTAACCACATTAGGTTCAGAGGATATCCAGAAGAATTCTTTGTCAGAATACAAATTTAATTTTAGGGATGCTAATAAGCCACTTGGGGTGCATTCCATTCCCTCTCACATATCAAAACCACTCTATTCTGGTTTGGACTTGCATGTTTCCTTCAATAAATAATAAAATAATGAAGATAAACATACTGGTAACATTAACGTATATTGATATATGATAGCATCTCTGCTACCATAACCTATTCAGAAAGGATACCAAATGTGAAATTAGCTAACAAACAAAATATGTTTGTTTAAAAATTATTGTTCATTTAAAAATTATTATATTCATTTGAATTTACCAGGTGCTAGCTCAGGCTCCATAAACACAAAAGCGAATAATAAATGACATCTTAAAATAGCTTCCTTGTAAAATGAGAATAATATTTCCAACCTCCAGAATTAGTGTAGGGATTAAGTGAGCTAATATTTGTAAAGTACCCAGTGTAATGCCAGCAGTATTGTACTACACCCAATTACGAGCAGCTATTTCATTTTTATTAGTAATCTGAACCACTGTGCTGCTATGCACCAGCCATGAAGAAACAGCTTCTTTTAATAAACAAGCACAGGCTACAAATCAATGAAGATCAATGTGAAAAGTCAGAAATCAGGAAAATTTAGAAGGAAAGAAAATTTCTATCTTCAAAATTGAAAACTATGGCAGGCTTGTTTTGTTGTTGTTGTCTTATGTGTTTCGTAATAAGACATAGGAGTAGAGAGTACACAGTAAAACAAGCACTCCACACATCACTCACTGGTGAAAGCTGGACTAGAGAATCATTTGTGGAAATCAATACCAACCGCCAACAAGAAGATCTTACTCCCTTTGACCAAGTTCATTGTACTTATAAAAATTTGACCTAAGGAAATAATCAAAGATGCACATTGGAGAACGTACTGCAGGAAAAAAAAGTTTAAAACAATTAATAATATGGACTTGAATAAATTATGATATATCTATGTGATATATTAACCTCTCAGTAGACACTAGAAATTATTAGAAAACTGTTAGTTAGAAAATTAAATAACATAGAATGTGTTTCAATATATGCGCACATAAAAAGACCAGAATTAGAATATTAAATGTGAACAGTTAAGTGGTAATGGGGTTATAGATTATCTTATTTTCTTATTTATCCTTTATTATTTTCTTCCAAATTTCACACATTAAACATCTTTTATTTTTATAATTGAATAATTTTTAAAAATTAAAGCTTCAACTGTCCTTGAACCTACATTAATACAATTTCCTATTACAGAGTATCAATCTGACCTAGTGTGACACATATGGTCAGACAGCTATAAGAATACCTTGTTAGCCTTATGCACAGTATAGAAATAAAAAATATCTGCAGTATCCAGACAGTAAATAGCATGCCTGCGGCAGTGGAAATAGAGAGAAAGAAAAGAAACAGAAAAACTAGAGAAAATAAAGAATATGAAAGAATGGAAAAAAGATAAGAGAAAGACAATATAATTAAAGAAGTACACATAGAAAAGAGGACTTCTAATTAGTGCCTCTTACTATCTTATTCTAATTACTGTTATAGAACTGTTACTGTAGTTACTATAATCAACAATAATATAAGCAACTAAATAAAGAAGGCAAAGGAGAGGAAATAAAAGAGACAGACACACAGAAATTTGAGGAGTCCTATTAATAAATTTAAGAACTAAAGAAAACCATCTAAGAAAAAAAAAGATAAAGGCAAGAAGGTACCCATGATGACACTTCAAAACTAGGTACAAGTCTTTCTCTCCTCTCGCCATATCAGTAAGCCACTAACTTTGTTAAAATTCAAATCCTCCCATTTAATTTTATAATCACTATTTTGACCAGCCACAAGGACTAATGAAAATCTGCTGCCCCCTACTGGTCACTCAAATTCACCAAATGAAGCAAAGTCAAACTAAGGGTTAAAAGTTCATTTTTAGAAAAACTATTTCTAATACAACTGAATAATTTTTTCTTCTTCATAAACATTTGTTTTTAAAAACTCCAAGTGACACCTTTCAAATAGGAGATACAAACCTCCACCTTTCCAAATTCCCTCAACAACTTGGGGGATTTAATTTTAAAACCTCTTAGCTTGTTTTGAACTTGAGCTACCAAATCCTTTATTTTACAATAGGACCAAAGAAAACTGATTTTTATTATAAAAAATAAATTCAGCATTCAATTTACAGTGAGTTTTTCAATTAAAATATAAGAGAAATTCTGAGTTGTAAAATAAGGGTATTTTTAATATTGTAATGAAAGAGTGAAGGTGGGGTAAGCATCCTTTTTCTGAATTATTAATCAGCGTAAAGTTCACATTCTGATTTCACTCTGTTTCATGTTTGTCCTTTCACAGTCATTTAAAACTATTATTTAGAGAATAATATCCGTAATTAGAAAAAGGTTTCTAGTCAAACTTTTAATTATTTGCAGGATATCTTCTTGCCATCAAGAAGAGAATTAAAAACAAAAAGGGGGCTAGGAAGTATTTGTCATGTTAATTTTTTCTTTTCTTTTCTTTTTTAATCATGCTGACCACAAAACTTCAAGAGAAGCGTTCTCCCAGATGATGAGTGGGAGTGTCAAGTGCCGCTAGCTTTCTGGAAACAACACAGCAATAAGTAGAAAAAGCCCATAAAATGAACACATCCTTTCACTTCTAGGAATCGATCCTAAGACAAAAATCAGAAGTGCCAAAGATGTATTTATGTACAAAGAGAAATAAAAATCGAACAACCTAACAGGTACGGCATTAAGGAAAAAGCAAATAAATTGTGTGTGTGTATATATATATATATATATATATGATAGATTAGTATGAAGTCCCTTGAAATAATATGTAAAAAGCATTTTCAATATGAAAATGGAGGGCCGGCCGAGTGGCGCGTTGGTTAAGAGCTGGCTTGGGACGCCAGAGGGCTCCAGTTCAGATCCCACATATGAGGGCCAGTGACACTGCCCTCTACAGCTAAGATGCTGAACAACAGCTCGACCTGGAGCTGGGCTGCCGTGAGCAGCCGGCGATGGCAGATGGATTGCCATGGGCTACCGTGTGTAGCCAGCAGCCAGCGTGAGCGGCCAGCAGCCACTGTGAGCGGCCGTCCAGAAGCCGGCGACTGATCTGCCTCGCCCGGGAAGAGCGCAATGATGGTGCCAACTTGGGCCAGTGAAGCAACATCCTCCACAACTAGACTGAAGAACAAAACGACAGCAACTTGTCTGTTCCCCTTCCCCCAATTCCCCAATAAAAATCTTTTTAAAAAAGAAAAAGAAAATGGAAAGTATACTTTGTGGGAGTTTTAAAAATTACATGTAAAACAGTGTACAATATGATCAGACAAGTAAAATACACCAATATGTGATACACAAAGAAAAAGAAGGAAATAACCCAAATCTGAAGTGTTTATCTCCAGATGGAGGGAGTCAGAGGATTTTTATTTTTACATTTAATTTTCCTAATTATCTACACTTGAGTACTTTAAAAGCAGCCTTGCGAATTTATTCAAATAACGCAGTCTGATAGTTCTGCTGAAAAGGATAAAAACTGACAGTCATTTTTACTGCAAATAAGAGAAATGACAGACACATCCTTATTTGCAGAACACCATTTCTTTTTCTTTCGAACACGTGATTCTTACCACACACATGATGTAGGACAGGATAGCACCAGAGGAGCCGATGAGCGCGCCCACGATAGTCAGCAGGTTGTTGTTGAGCAGGAAGCCCTCGGCACACAGGGCCCAGCCTGAGTAGCTGTTCAGCACAGTGATGACGACAGGCATGTCAGCACCACCGATAGCAGCCGTCAAAGTCACACCCTAGGATGGAAAGCAAAGTGTAACTCAAAATTAATAAAACCTCTGACATTGAACATCTTGGTTCTTAATCATTCCTGTTTTCCAATTAATATATTTATGTATAAGTTCCACTGCTGGTGCCTTCTATTGGACCAACTCTTCCACAGATATAACAAATGTAAACACTGAATCACCTCCCCCACCAAAAAAAAAATCCCTAAATCTCTAAAAGACAGTGATGGAAAGCATGCAGAAACTGGAGAAGGGTCTACACTTGGAAAAAAGTAACAGTACTGAGTGAATTTCCCAGGGGAGTTAGCCTAAAGACAGGCTTTATTGGTGCCAAATGAAACAGCTAAAACTAAAATATAAGCCCACAGTCTACTACAATAGTTTGAAAATCTGAGACTAGGGCTTAGGGTGACTAATGCAGTTAGAAAATGAAAAGGGAAGTTCTGCAAAGGAGTAGGCTAGAGAAAGAAAGCCCCGACTCCTGTATATAAACTCTGCCCAAATCTCTGGCTGACTCCTGAACTAGGCACATGTGGGCATATTCCAAGCAACTCTGGTAAGGATAAAATAGATTGCAGCTGCCGCCCACCCTAGGGGAGCCAGAATTTGAAATACGGATCCAGCCAAGTGAGCTGCCTACAAAGACAAATGAATAAAAAATTATAATCAATACACTTTAGAGGAATACAACAGAATCCAAAGTCTCTATAATACATCATTCACGATGTCCATGATGCAACCCAAAATCACTAAACACAGGGAAGGAAAAGGGATGGTGGGGAGAAAGATTTTTGCTTTTTATTCCACGTATTTCTATATATTTTGTGTTTGTTACGATGTAAATGTATTCATGTATTACTTAATTAAGCCAAAAGCAATTAAATTAGTCTGCAAAACAGTTTATCTTATTCAGACATTCTCATAGAGTCATTAAGTATCTTTTAAATACCAAATTCACCTCTTCTCAAAAATAACAATTCTTCAAGTTTTAACATCGAAATGCTACAAATTTGATTTTGAGACTTTTTTTACCTCTTCTGCCCTATTAGATAAAAAATATCAAAACTATTTTTCCTTTGTTTAAAATAAAACAAAAATCAGTGCTATGTAAGTCAGAATAAAACTGGATGATCAGTAGTCATATAAACATAGAATTTTAAGTTACTTTTCAGTGTTCTAAAGGTTCTGTGTTGAAATCATGGCCTAACTCGTAAATATTACATAACAATCAGTATCATTTTAACATTGTAAATCTTGTATTTCTGAACCAAGTAGCCAGTAAGTGTTTGATAAGCAATTACAATGTCTAACTTTGTGCTAAGCACAGTAAATTATTTTAGAAACTTAAAACATAAACCTTGCTTACAAAGTATGCATTAGACTAGATAAACATAAATCAATTAGTTAATAACACAGAGCTGTATGCAACATTATACAATGATATAATAAAATGCTAAATTGTAAAATATAAACAACTAAAGAATACTGTATGTATCAATATGCTAAATGTAAAAAGTAGCAAGAGGACCAACCTATCATGAAAGGCTTTACTGAACTCCATCACTGAACACAAGAGTTTATTAATTGCATTTCATTTTATATAATTATTTGACTTGGTGTCATAGCTTCCAATGAATGTGAGAGCAACTAATAGTCAGGAACTACCTTGCACTTATTACATAAACCTCGAAGCACTATTCTGTAGGCCTTGTCACATAGCAGGCACATAATGAATGGAATTTAAATGCTTGGCTTTTTTAATGCCCTATTCACCAACACATTGATCCACTGAAAAGATGCCAGAGCAATAAATGTTACAGGTGACAACTTGAAAAGAACAATTAAGTGGAGAGAAAGAGTGATTTTCTTCTTATACTTTTCTATATCTTCCAGATTCTAAAAAGATACACAAGTAACATCATTATAAAACATATTTATTCCATCAGTGGTTCTGAAAAGTGAGAAATATGATAAGACAGTAATCTAACAAAATACTCCCAGTTCCTCATATCTGCTTTCCATTTCTGACTTCTTACCATGACAGCAGAGAGCGCTGACACAGAGCCCAGACAGAGAATGCCTGTGGTGAAGCTGGGGTCTATCATGAATGGGATTATTCCACCCACGCTACTAGCCAGCAGGCCTGCATTGAGTAAGTGCCTTCCAGGGAGCAGGAGAGGCGCAGAATTCAGGATACCTAGAACCAAACACATGTCAGTCAGAACCTAGCACATGTAATAAGAAACTCCCACACACATACTCCTAAGTGTACTTCACTTAATCCTAAACTACCAGAATGTAATCTCAGAATTGAAACATGGTATTTAAAATATCACTTTGTATCACCAGGTACTGAAACATAAAAACAACTTAGAGTTCTTACACACAACAAATATCAACAGAAGCAAAAAAAAGTATGGCTCAACTTTTCTTTGATCACACAATTTCTTTACTCTCTGTAATGGACTCTTGATGAGTCACTTTTTCCCCCATAGGACCAACACAGAAGTTGATAAGTGAGGATTTATTTATTTAAAACTTCAAAACAAACTCCTAGCACATTAGCATTTCCGATTCTATCAATGGAGCCCAAGTGAGAAGAGCCTGGTTTGCGAGTTGTTTCTGCCAACAGAGCAGGAGACAAGGATGTTTGAGGTTCTTTTTGTGGCTTTTTAATCTTCATGGAAGTTCCCCACTTAATTTTAATGACTTGATTACTGAGAGGCAAGACCAGAGTTATAAATCACAGCTAGTTTCTTTAGAGACTCACTTTTTCATGAAAACACTGCAAGTAGCCTTTGTGACTTTCCCCCCCCCCCATTTTCATGATTGGCTTTAGCAGTACCAAAAGTTGCCAAACTAGAGCCCTAAGATGTGCATTTGTTTTCAAGATAAGTACTATATACTAATCACATGAATTTATTCAATAAGCATCTCTCTATTCTGGAAAATGTATCAAGTTCATTTCTGTGAACTCCACATAGGCATCTCTAACCAAGGATTATGAAGATATTATTTTGTTCATATGTATTATCAAATGTCAACTAGTTCCTCTGTGCCAATTTCTGTGTACAGGTTTCCTCCACTAGGTGTCCAAAGAAACAGCTTCAAAGCTTTGTGAGTATAAGATTTACAAGGATCGGGCCGGCCGAGTGGCGCGTTGGTTAAGAGCTGGCTTGGGACGCCAGAGGGCCCCGGTTCGGATCCCACATGAGGGCCAGTGACACTGCCCTCTACAGCTAAGATGCTGAACAACAGCTCAACCTGGAGCTGGGCTGCTATGTGTCGCCAGCGACAGCGTAGGCTGCAGCCCCTGTGGCAGTGGGTTGCCATGGGCTACCGTGTATAGCCAGCAGCCAGCGTTGAGTGGCCAGCAGCCGCTGTGAGCGGCTGTCCAGAAGCCAGCGACTGATCTGCCTCGCTCGGGAAGAGCGCAATGATGGTGCCAACTTGGGCCAATGAAGCAACGTCCTCCACAACTAGACTGAAAAACAAAAGGACAGCAACTTGTCTGTTCCCCTTGCCCCAATTCCCCAGCGCTGTTCCCATCCCCCAATTCCCCAACAAAAATCTTTAAAAAAAAAAACAAAAGATTTACAAGGATCAATAAAGGGAAGCCATCTTTACGGAGAGAAAAGAGCATTTATATACTTCTGAGTGCTATACAAACTCTTCACTTAACAGGTTCTACTGGTAAGCTATTTCTGAAATTGAAATGGACCCCTAAATCCCCAAACAATAGACATTTACACCTCTATGTTATGTTGAATCACTTACCCTGCAATTTTCCATAGGCAACAAGAGACCCACTAAACGTGACACCACCGATGTAAGTACCGAGGTAGGCCACGATCTTGGTGAGATTTGCTGCTGGATCCACAGCAAAATGTGGATATTCTACAATATACTCAGCTATGCAAGTAAGCACAGCAGCCAAGCCCACTAAACTGTGGAAAGCAGCAACTAACTGAGGTAAATCGGAAATCTGGATGCGTTTGGCAATTGTCAATCCTGTTGGGAAATGAAGGTCAAAAAAGAAATTAAAACTTGACAGACCTTTAAGAAGTAACCACAATAAAGACCACACTTAAGGGTTTCTATCCTTGTCACCAATAAACATCTGCTTCCTAGTTTGGGCTAAATATACTTCTATAGGGACTGACTATACAGGAGGTAAGGACACAGGCTATACTCGTATATACCCTTTCAAAATAGCAGGTTTTCTCGACACATCTAACCAAGGCCCAACTCCAAAAAATCCAGACACACAAACATGACCATGTGCTTCTTCCCCTTGCAACCTTCGAACACGCCCCTGGCCTATCGCATCTTCAGATTACTTAAAGCTCCAATTCAATACTTTTCAATTCTCCCCACAGCATGGTAACCCAGGCCCTCTTCTCTAGAAGCCAACACTTGCTCCTGAGCACACAAGAAACAGCTGAAATATGAAGAAGGCCTAGGTTTCCAGGTGGGTGAGTGGGAGCCAAGTCCAAAGGTAAAGAAATGCAAATATCTGAGTAGTAAATGTCCAAATTAGGAAATTCTGAAGGAGTTTATGGCTCTAGATAGGTGATATAGAAAGAGTACGGCTCAGAGTATTTGCTAAGATCATGTTTAAAAGTTCTCCTGCCATGAACCTATAGCCAGGCATTTATCTTCAAGTACCTTTCTAGGCACTGTCAAGAAAGGACTCAAAGCTTTCCTGGGGAAATATAAAAGGGGGCTGAAAGCTAATGTTGTGCTGGTAAATATTTAACCACCAGCTCCTCAGGATAAAAACATTCCTGTGTATACATGCATATGTGATTTTTACTGATATACAGGTATGTACACACAATTTTCAAATAATAACAAAATATGCAATACTCTTTATTGTAAATTCCACATAGCCAATTGGTTTTCATGGAATGCTTTTGTTAATTTTTGCCAAACTCTTGTATCTGTAACCAACCTAGTATTTGCAACTGATGAATGAGTGTAGTTCCCACACGAATCTTGGTTAATATTTTTGTTTACATTAACAAGTCAGATGAAAGTGAAACAAGATATATATGTGAAAACTTCACTGTCAACCACGTGAGTGATGACTTCGCTGAATCTGGTAATAATAGTTTCCAAATACTGGAAGAATATTTGCACAATTTTTTGTGTAACAGCTACAGACACAACACACTTTGAAGTTTAACCTGCATTATTAACATTTTCTCCATCACTTTCTTAGGTCTGGATAATCAACAAAACAATAAATGAAACCCAGATTTGTAGCATTTGTTGATTTCCACGGTATAATTACAACTACCATGGCCAATTTCAAACTACCAATGTGATGTCAATAAATATGGAGTTGGGAAGAGAGGTACAGTAGCCCACCATTACACAGTATTTCCACCATACAGATACAAAAAAAATGGACAACCTCAAGAGCAGAGATAATAAAATCTAATAAATTAATCAGAAAGTTACGGATAGTACTATTATCTTTGTTTGTAATATAATTTATCTGTTTTATTTTGGCGAAAGGTCATCACAATTGATATAATTCTCATTCAAATACAAATATTTTAAAACATTTAATTGAGCAGGTAAATCAACTGAGTCAAAAGAGTGTGCTAAAAAATGGGCATGGGCATGGGCCAGCCGAGTGGCTCAGTTGGTTAAGAGCTCGCTCAAGAGTTTGAGCTCTGAGCAACAGCGGTTCAAGTCCTGGCCCAAGCTGAGCAGCC